AATCCAATTAGAAGCACACTGACAGATGTGTTTGTGCACTGGGGCTGTGTGCTGTTTTGGATACAGAAACTTGTGATTCCAGTTGGAGATCTTGTTTTGGGTAATCTCATGCAAGATCTGTATCTCCAGGCTCAGAATGGCATCAGTTTTGATTTGCTTGCTAATAGAAACCTTTCTGTTTCCAATTATTTTTCCTGATCGGGGAGACATCTTATTTCCCATGACACAGTTAAAAAGAAATGGAGAGTCTCGAGGAGGGAAGTCATCAAGATGATTTAACAATGTTTTCTTTCTAGTTTGTTTTACTTAAACTTCCCCCAGATCTTAATTGGATGAAGGGCCTGCCAGGCTATAAAAGTGCTGGTCCAATAGCTGTAAGATGTGGTTCAGTAATTACAATACTGTGAAAAGAACAGGAGTACTTGTGGCACCTTAGAGACTAACAAATTTATTAGAGCATAAGCTTTCATGGGCTACAGCCCACTTCTTCGGATGCATATCACATGATTCACAGTGCTGTGAGGCACTCCAAGCCCTGTGTCGGTAGCAAATGAAATCCAAATCTCTGTTCTGAAACGGACACCCATTAGTCATTGAAATCTGCTCTTTGAGGGAACGGTATCTTGCTCTTTGAACATACCATGGAAGGAGTCTTGGAAAAGAGACGACTAAGGGGAGATATGATAGAGGTCTATAAAATCATGACTGGTGTGGAGAAAGTAAATAAGGAAGTGTTATTTACTCGTTATAACACAAAAACTAGGGGCCACCAAATGAAATTAATAGGCAGCAGGTTTAAAACAAACAAAAGGAAGTATTTTTTCACACAACGCACAGTCAACCTGTGGAACTCCTTGCCAGAGGATGTTGTGAAGGCCAAGACACTAACAGGGTTCAAAAAAGAACTAGATAAATTCATGGAGGATAGGTCCATCAACGGCTATTAGCCAGGATGGGCAGGGATGGTGTCCCTAGCCTTTGTTTGCCAGAAGCTGGGAATGGGCGATGGGGGATGGATCACTTGATGATTCCCTGTTCTGTTCATTCCCTCTGGGGCACCTGGCACTGGCTACTCTCAGTAGACAGGATACTGGGCTAGATGGACCATTGGTCTGACCCAGTCTGGCTGTTTTCATGTTCTTGAGGAGTCCAGGCATTCTGCTTTGGAAGCTGAATTCCACAGCTGTCTCTCTCCATGACTGCAGACTTGGGAAGCTCAAGGGGCACCAGAAATGTACTGCAGTGCACTTACCTCTGTGTGCATAATTTATCATTGCTGACTTAGCTGCTGCAAGCGCCTGCCCTTCTTTTCCTGGAGGCTGCTTCAGCGCTAATCTGTACTGTCGGGTGTGTTGCCTGTGCAAGCGATGGAGTTCTGTAAAACCCCCATTGGTGGTATGGGGAGAGTGGCAGAGAGTTCAGGAGGACGCGTGGGGTTTGAGCGAGGCGAGGTACTCCATTCCCTCCATGCGCCGGTGTGATACGTAGAGAAGGTTAGGAGGTTGCTAAAACGTTTTAGCGTTTGCTTGGGAAATGTTTATCATATGGAGCGATGTAAATAGGTAATTTGGAATAAATATCATATACTGTGTAGCATCAAAATTACTGTATGGATTGCAACATTAGACGCAGGCCTGTGAGTACCTCGGAAGGTTCAGGGATCGAACGCCCAGGCCTTGTGACACGTTTAACAATCGCAGAGCGCACGTCACTAGAGCAGGGCAATAATTGTTTCTTTATACAACAGTCAAGCTGGCCCAACACGACTACCAACAGTGAATAAGGGGCAAATCATCCGTGTGAGGAAGAACCAGAACAATGAAATAGAAAATTATTAATGTAAGAAACTGTGATGTTTCCTGGGGATACCCAGGAGTGTGAGGCATCTTGCTACGCCCTGCCCTTAGCGTGAGGTCTGTGCCTGCCGTGTGTCAGCTCCCTGACTCCACTGGCCACGGTCAACACAAGCACTCCTCTCTTAGTCTACCAGGCTCTGCTGTCCCTCTGCAGGTTAGCGATAGGCACGCCCCAACCTCCGAATGTCCAGCCCCTGGTCTGCTGAACACTCTCAGATTTGCTGCTCGCCAAGGAACAGTATCCCCCCCCCTTACTAGTTACACCTGAGATCGCAGCGCCACTTACACACAGCACTTGGATATGTTTATCGTGAAAACAAGCAAAAGCTTATTTAATATAGAGTAGGGATTCACATGAAAAGTAGAAATATTGGAAACAAATGGTTACATGTAAAATAAAAACAGCATTTTAGAACCTAGACTGACTGACTTAGTTACTGTTAACTCTTATATGGCAATGCTCAGCCCAAATCCTTCCAGTTTATTACAGCCAAGCTTGGCTGTGATCTTCCATTCATGAGACACTGTCCTCTGGTCTCCTCAGTGGAAAGATGCGGGGGGTACCTCTCCCCACAAATATACTCCAACAGTCCATTGTCTTCATTGCTAACCAGGATCTCCCCTGCAGGTTGTTTTTCCCTGTGCCTCTTTCTTGTCCATTTCACAATCTCTTGATTAGCATCCAGCTCAGACTGTAGACAAGCTTCCATTGTGGAGTGGATGATACACAACACACATGACCAGTGAGTGAGAGAGAGAGAGAAGCATTTATCCCCGTCTGGTGACCTTCCTTAACTCTCAGACCTTAAGAACATAATTTTCAGTACGGATACACAATTCCTTAAACAATATCCATCCGCACGTTTCACAGTGATTATGCAACCAGTGGGCTATTGGCTCTTCATGGAGACCTCACGTGCCACCTTTTGATAAACTTAATATGCATACATCTGACCTAGGGGATCCCTGTGAAACTCTATGCACCCCCTATGCCCTCTACCATAGAATCATAGAAGATTAGGGTTGGAAGAGACCTCAGGAGGTCATCTAGTCCAACCCCCTGCTCAAAGCAGGATCAACCCCAACTAAATCATCCCTGCCAGGGATTTGTCAAGCCTGACCTTAAAAACCAATAAGGAAGGAGATTCCACCACCTCCCTAGGGAACCCATTCCAGCGCTTCACCACCCTCCTACTGAAATAGTTTTTCCTAATATCCAACCTAGACCTCCATCACTGCAACTTGAGACCATTGCTTCTTGTTCTGTCATTTGCCACCACTGAGAACAGCCGAGCTCCATCCTCTCAGGTAGTTGAAGGCTGCTATCAAATCCCTCTTCTCTTCTCTTCTCTTCTCTTCTCTTCTCTTCTCAATAAGCCCAGTTCCCTCAGCCTCTCCTCATAAGTCATCTTCCCCAGCCCCCTAATAATTTTCGTTGCCCTCCGCTGGACTCGCTCCAATTTGTCCACATCCTTTCTATAGTGGGGGGCCCAAAACTGGATGCAGTACTCCAGATGTGGCCTCACCAGTGCCGAATAGAGGGGAATAATCACTTCCCTCGATTTGCTGGCAGAGCTCCTACTAATGCAGCTCAATACCTTCTTGGCAACAAGGGCACACTGTTGACTTGTATCCAGCTTCTCATCCACTGTAATCTCCAGGTCCTTTTCTGCAGAACTACCACTTAGCCAGTCAGTCCCCAGCCTGTAGCAGTGCATGGGATTCTTCCGTCCTAAGTGCAGGACTCTGCACTTGTCCTTGTTGAACCTCATCAGATTTCTTTTGGCCCAATCCTCCAATTTGTCTAGGTCACTCTGGACCCTATCCCTACCCTCCAGCGTATCTACCTCTCCCCCCAGCTTAGTGTCATCCGCGAACTTGCTGAGGGTGGACTCTGCTTGATACCGGCTGCCAACTAGACATTGAGCCGTTGATCGCTACCTGTTGAGCCTGACGATCTAGCCAGCTTTCTGTCCACCTTAGAGTCCATTCATCCAATCCATACTTCTTTAACTTGCTGGCAAGAATACTGCTTTGGCACAAGAGGTTCCTGGGTTATAGAGACCTTGTTATAATTTTGGAAAATAAATTCCTTTTGCTCTGAGAAAGGGTCCACTCTAATACTTAATGTTGTTAGGTATTTGTGACCATCAGTTGTCAGGCATCTTGCAACCTGCCTAGCTTCTGGGTACAAGGAGAGAATTTCCATTCACAGCACTGTCTCTTTCCTAACAGCTCATTAGAAACTTAGGCCCCGATCCTGTAATTGGGCCTCTTGGGGCAGAACTGTGTGCTTCTGTGAAGCCCCAATGACCCAGTGACAAATCCTGAATACACTAGCATTTGATATGGGGGGCAAATCCTTGCAGCCCTTGCACAAATGGGCGAGCATTTTGCATTGGATTTTGGTCAGGATCTCAGCGGAGTAATGCACTATAATGTTTGCCACCCACTTTTCCAGGGAAGAAATACAAAATAATACATGCCGTAGAGCAGGTTGATCAGCACTTCTTTGCTTTCCTTCTCCCAACATAAGAACAAAGGGATATTGAAGCAAATTGGTAGGCAGCAGGTTTAAATCCGATAAAAGGAATGACTTTTTCGCACAGTCTGTGGAACCGATTGCCATAAGATGTCACTGAGACCAAGCGTTTAGCAAGATTATAGTAAGGACTTCTTTAAAAAAAACAAAAAACAAAAAGTTGGAAGGTACATAAGCTCTCCTGCCCCAGGCCACAAACCAACCACTGACTGATGGGTTAGGACGCAACTTTCCCTGTAAGCAGGCTATTCCATATCTATTCTGCGGGGTTTGTTGCACCTTCCTCTGAAGCAATCTGGTGCTGGAAACGGAAATAGGATCTGGCTAGCTGGACGGTTGGTCTGATTCAGTGTCTGGTGTGGCAATTAACCCCCCCACTTCCTGCATGTTAGTGGCTGTTAATATGTTACTCTAGGGTACAGAGATATCAGGGCTATGGCAGACAGAACACTTTGGGAAAAAATCCATGCAGGGACCATCTCTTTGTTTGGATAGTACCTAGCACAATGGGGTCCCGGCCGTGACTACAGTTCCTAGGTGCTGTGGCAATATGCTGCCGCCTCCTGCGTTCTCAGTAGTTTGGTCTCTGTTCTTACGTCTAGGCTGTACACCATGGCCCAAGCAGAGAAGAAAGGCGGACTGCTCTGGAAATCTTCAGCCTCCAAGAAACCATTGAAAGAGAAAGTTGTGCTAATGTACGATGAGATCTTCATGGTAAGGACTGGGCCCCTTTTCCTTTTGTCCCTTTGGTTTGCTGAGAGAGCTCCATATGTCGGATTCTTCTCCATGAGACAGGACGCGTGTCTATCAAAGCCAGGCTGTCCCATAACTGTCTCAGATGACATGCCTTCCTCTGCTGCCTCCTTCAGTTTCACTGAGTGGCGTTCCCCGGGGGATGTAGAATGCGGTGCCCATGAAGTTAGGAAAGGGAGCGGCAGGCCAGGGGAGCCAGTGCAGTAGGAGGAAGGGACTCCATAGTGAGGAGCTGTGAGGAACCTTCTCCTTTTCGGTTTGGGGGAGAGAATATTTCTGGGAGACAAGAACGAAAGCTTCTCAGGCGAGAATTGTTTCTGCAAATCTCGCTTTTGGGAATCTGCATTGGCAATATATTGTACTTCGAGAACTCCAGTGACAGGTGAGTAACCTTGTCTTCCGGAGTCTGAACTATTTACACTGATGTTCTGTCGGTGTGCTTAGCCTTTCTCCTAGCTGTACTATTTGTTCTCACGGGGTCTCCTTTCTCTTTCAGACGGAGGATCCCAGTAAATGCAGCCCTCGGTTCTGGGAGGAGCTTTTCCTCATGAAGGTACCATAAGAGTTGAAAGCCATCCTCTTATCTTTTGATTCGCCTTTGCTTGTTTGCCCTGGGATGTGGCAGGGACTTGCCCACCTGGGGGTCTCCACTTCCTTTCAGCAGCTGGGTGAAATGCATTAATTGGTTTTTCCTTCATTCCTTGACCTGACAGGTGAACCTGGAGTATCTAGAAAGCAAGCTGGAGTCTCTGGATGGAGAAGAGTTAATGAAGATAAAAGATAACATTAACTGTTTGTTCCAACACTGCATCCAGGCCTTGGGAGAAGAGCACCCAATCCGAGTAGTCAATGCGTTACAGGTACCAGAGCTGATGGCTAGGGAGCCCGTGTGAGTGGGGCAGTTTATTGATACTGTCAAGCACCTTGTGCTAGTTTCTTTAGTGTGGCTGAGAGGCAGTGGCCACTCACTGGTAGCTTTTATTATTTATTCGTTTGAAGGTTAGAGACATCCTGTGCTCAGCTGCTTCCTTCCCTCTTTCCTTCACAGACGTTATGTGCGTTGATTCGCGGCGTCCATCAGAAGAACAAATCCACCTCTGGGTTTGACATCATCAACATGCTCATGGGCTTTGACAAAGCAGAGCTGTGCATGAAGGTAAGGGCTCTGGCATCAGAGGAGCCGCATGCTGCTCGCCAGCTCTATCCTACAGGGATGTCCTCTGTAGACGGTTGCCGTTACAAAGAAGCGCATGCACGTGTGTGAACACTACAGTGAATTATTAAATGTAGCTGCCCTGGTGTATTCTGCCTGCCGAAGGCCCAGCACAAGGGCGCTTGTAATTCATTACATATCTAACGTAATGATGGAGGGAGGTTGTGCCTTTCCTTTCACTCCATGGTGTCGATTCCTAGATTGTCATGAATAGAATTTAAGGCTAGAAGGGACTGTTAGATTATCTGGTCTGACCTGCTATATAACACAGGCTGGAAAATTCCACCCAGTTACCCCAGTATCAAGTCCAGCTGCTGAAGGTAGCAATCTTTTTGGTGCTCCGATTTCCCTCAATACAGCTGGGCAGGTGGGAACTTATACAGTGTAAACTCAGCCAGCGTCTGACCTTTGAATCTTTTACCAGTGAGTGTAGTTGCTTGAGCAGTGTTAACTATCCACAGGCAAACTCTGTCCTGCTGCTAGACTGCTCACGTACACATGTCCGGTTTATAGCAGTCAGAGGTCAGAATGCCTCTGTCCATGCTGGCGTCTGATCTGTAAATCAGTTACAAGGTGGGGTGGCTCTTCAGGGGATGAGCTGTTGGAACAGACGCTGCTTTTGAGTGCCACCTCCTGCCATGGGGGTGATGGAAGGGGACAGTTTAATAAGGCTTTTTGTGTCACAGTTATGGAGTAACCCTTCTATGAATGATGAGATTTGATGGTTAGCTGTGGAACAGCTCCAGTGGGGTGGTGGGATAACTGGGCAAATGTGCTGTAAGGACTAACGTGATCCAGCAAGTTAACGTCACATGTGACCTAGATTTTGGCTGGTACCAGTTCCTCCCTGACTCCTGACAAGGCTGAGGGAGGGATTTTAGTGGTGGTCCGCGTTTGGTAGCCAGACTGGCGTGCTATACGTAACCTGATGGATTCAGGCCGCCAAGGCTGATTGTGACTACGTCCTTCCTCAGAATCTGATGGAGAGCTTGGACTCGCTGCTTTGTGCAGAAGGCTCCGAAAGCCTGAAGAGTTTGTGTCTGAAGCTGCTTCTCTGCTTGGTAACGGTAAATAACACAAAACTGACGTTTCGCTTAGAAACCTCGAAGGGCAGGAGTGCCGGCGAACTGACCAAAGTGCCCCTGGGGCAGGAGGACGGAGGGATCTGGGAGTGCAGAGGACAAAGTGTGGTACAGGGTACGGTTGCTGGAAGTGCTGCCTCCAGAATGATCTTACTTCCCGCGCTGACATTGCAGTGTCAGTTGATCAGTGTCTTTATGGCCATGTGTCATTTCCAGAATTGTTGCCTTGGAGAGCAGCTACGTTAAAGAGCCCCGGGTGGCGGCCCGTGGGTTTGGAAGGGCTGCTGGCTAGCGAAGGGCTGGCCCGTCCTGAGGCACAGATGTGCTCTTCGACGGGTTCTGGGATGATTCCGGGCCAGCTCAGTCGTTTCCACCCTTGGGGGCCAAGGGGCCTGGGGCTGGGAGTGTTATTCTGTCTGTTGTTGTGTGATGAGTATATAAGGAAGTTGGTCTGTCCCTGGGACTGAGAGTTACACACAGCAGCGTGGAAGTTTCCTGCGTTGCACAGAGTCTGAGACGCTCCTGGCAGATGTAGTGATTGGGGGGCACACAGGAAAGGAGTCGGGGTGCTGGGAGGAGGGTGAGCGTGCACAGCTATTCCCACTCTGCTCTGCTCTAGTCCTACCTGGTGGTTCAGTAGGGGAACGTGCCTGTTTCCGTGCACACCGGAGGCAGTTACAGTACATTAGAGATTATGGAGTTTCAGTCATCATTTTAAAAAGCCTTTGATTGCTTCCAGGTGACAGACAACATCAGCCAGAACACAATCCTGGAATATGTGATGATTAACAGTATATTTGAAGCTATTTTACAGGTAAGTGTTTCTCATCTCTGGCTGGTTAGGTCTTTTCCCGTAGTGCCAAACTTTCATCCGTACATTTACTGTTCAGTGCTTTAAATACAATAGAGGCTCGCTGGTGTTACGTGTCAACCTCTTACTCCTAGCTCGGCGGTAGATTTTTATAATGCTGCCGCCTCCTTACTCCAGGCTGTTGGTTTCAGTCACTGTTGGGCTTTTAAGATTGTTACACTTGTGCCTTTTATGCTTAGAAAGCAGGTGAATAGCTCTGTGGGTCTAATTTCACGGAGGATTTCTAGACTAGAGGAACTTATTATGACAGTCAGCCTGGGTATTTCCAGTGATTTTCTCCCCTTTGATATGGTATGCTTTTTAGGAGAAGTATTTGAGTGTATACTGGCAATACACTGAGATACTGTCTCATGCAGTGCTGGGTGATGCCGTGGCTGGGACATTTTGCTCTCTGTAAGCCTGTGCTACATAACTGGCTCTCTTTGGTTTCTTATAAGCATTGCAATTCACTATTTTAAATCTCATACAGACCATTTTAAATCCTTACCAAATTCACGGTCCATTTTGGTAAATTTCACAGTCATAGCATTTAAAAAATCTTCAATTTCATGGTTTCAGATATTTAAATCTTAAATTTCACAGTGTTGTAACCGTGCGGGTCCTCACCCAAAAGAGGGTCAGGCAGGGGGTTGCAAGGCTATTGTATGGGGGTCCCAGTATTGCTACCCTTACTTCGACACTGCCTTCAGAGCTGGGTGGCTGGAGAGCTTCGGCTGCTGGCCAGGAACCCAGCTCTGAAGGCAGCACCCCACCAGCAGCAGTGAAGGTGTAAGGGTGGCAATATAATACCATGCCACCCTTACTTCTGCACTGATGCTGGTGGTGGCACTGCTTTCTGAGCTAGGTGCTTGACCAGCAGCCACCACTCTCCAGCTGCCCAGGTCTGAAGGCAGTGCCGAAGTAAGGGTAGCAATACTGGGACGCCCCTACAATAGCCAGATTTCACAGGGGAGACCAGATTTCATCATCTGTGACGGTTTTTCACGGCTGTGAATTTGGTAGGGCCCTACTCTTACGTCACTTAGCACATAATATGCTGATATGTTACATATTGTTCTGCTTGGCCTTGCTTCTTTGGGAAACTAGCTATGTTTCATAGTCAACTACTGGGTAACATGATTCATTCCCGCTTCTCGTTTCAGATTCTGTCCAACCCACCTAGTCGCAGGGAGCATGGTTATGATGCTGTTGTCCTTCTTGCTTTGCTAGTTAACTACAGAAAGTATGAGGTAGGTGTTGGGTGCAGAGAGCCATTTCGTGATGCTGATGTCTTTCTTCAGCCAGTTTGTCCTTGAGATGCGAGCCCTTGGTGAGTGCTAAAATACACTTGGAAAGGCCAACCACTGCGCCGGCAGCTTGAGACCTCCTTAAGCCCTCCTTTTATTCGCTGCTTAGAGAACAGCCCTTGGTGCTGTGAGACTAAAATCTGTTCCCTATCAGCAGGTGGGCTCTCTATTGCGTGAGTCCGCACTGGCCTGCTGTTGTAAGGTTCTGCACGAGCTGCGGTGCTGCCATCCAGATCATTTTTAGAAATAGGCATTGAAACGTTTAGCAAGGTAAAAACGGACAGTTACAGGCACTGGGCACAACATCTGCACGCTCATTGGCAGAGAACATGTCAGCAATTTCCCCATCCCATTTTTGTTCTGTTTATATATGTTTATATATCTGTTTATATATGTTTCTTTTACATGTACATGTCTATTCAAAGGTGCAGGTGTTCAAACAGTTATTTATATACAAGTACAAAGGAGAGCTGTTCAGGGGATTTGCACTTTATCTATGGAAATACTTTACTTTGATTTGCAAGAAGTCCTCTTGAAAGAATCGTTAATGTGTAGCGCGCGTGTGTGTAAAATATATTTTCTCTAAAGAGAAGTAAGTTGTTATAGAGTTGCCTCAGGTTTCAGACCCCGGACATGTGATTTGGAGCTGACTATCAAGTCAAAAGATTTTAGAACTCTCCGGAGAGATGTCGGTCATGTGACTAGAGGATGAGCTGAAATGTCACAGCCTACAACTCCTTAGGAGAATGAGAAATGTGGCTCTGCGTCTCTCTAATTGCCGCCTTCTCAAGAAACATAATTCTCCTTTCCTTTTCCAAGCTGGGATGTTGTATTTAGTAATCTGCTTGTGTTTCTACAAAGTTTTTTTTCTGCTGATCTTATTCTTAAGAGAGAAAAGGGAAGAAATGTTAAAATACATGTGAAATGTCAGTGTCTCTTTACATGAGGCATGATATTATAATTGTCTGTCTTAAGAGTTTTCCTCAATGTCGGGATTTTGAATTTAATTGTTTGGAAACATGAGTTCTGGACTCATAAGAGTTGCACTAATCATGAGACATGTTTCTATCTGACCTCATTCCTGACTGAGGAAGAGAGGATATATATTAAGGTTTCCTCGTGTATGTTCATATTGCTGTACTGTTCACAATATGCTAGGGGCTAATCATACGCAGAGGAAGAATGACGTATCTAAATGAAATGCAGGGGGGATTTAGGCAATTTCTCATGTTAGAATTTGGCTGGGACACAAAGGTTGATGAGTCAGTGTTTACTGAAAGTGTCAAATTGTGATAGTCTTCTGTTTTGCCTTAAAATTCCGTGTAATACAATGCAACATCAACACCAGCAGCACAGAAGTAAAGCTTGATCACTTAAAGCTGGCAGCGTGAATCAGCTTTGTTCCACATGGTGCAGATAGTGATGCCTATAATTAAGGGTGCTGAGCACTTTCTATTATCAGATCATGTTTTCAGTTGTTTATAGCTTTGCCAGTTATAAACTGTAACTGTTTCCAGGCTGGGTGTCTGCCTCAGGCTGAATTTATTTTTTTTAAGGATTCAGCCATTTCCTACACAACGTTAGGGAAAAATAGGTTGTTTTGCTCGTTTAAAACAGTTCCCATAATTGTTCTGTTGAGAAGCGGCCCTGTGCTTTAGAGCAGGAATTGAAATGTGGCTGTGGGTGGCTGTGGTGCCTTTCACCATCTCCATGAAGCTCTGCCCGCATCTGACCAATTTATAAGCCTCTGAAAATCTCTATATTTGCACATTCTCAGCAGAGGTTTGTTAGTGGCAGCTAAAGTCTCCAAAGATTCTGTCTGCACTGAGTGTGCTCCAACCCCTCATCGCTCCTGACCATCCCCGCAGAGCACCTGAGCTTGATGCAGCCCGGGGATGCAGGGCCTGAGCAGGATTCGTCCTGCGATAGCTCTCCGGGCTGCCAGGGGTCACTATTGTGCTAGTCACCAGAACTGAGAACAGGGAGCGAGGAGGAGGGCAGATGGGTGAGGAGCAGGGCGGGGGGCAGAGACAGGAGTTGGGGGCGGGGGGATGGATGGATGGATAGGAGCAGTGGGGGCAGACAGGGATAGCCGGTGTTGGGGAATCAAGGAGAAAAGGTTCTATAGCCATCAGAACACACACATCTAGTCCATGGAATTAAATCACGGATTCCTGAGTCTGAACACTCCTCTGCTGTCTAGCAAGTGGCTAGGAATCCCACTGGCAAAATGTCTTTCCTCCTCCACCTAGAGGATAACCGCCTACTACTACTACCAGTTATTCATGTAGCACAAGTGCTGGACATCTGTGCTGTGAGCCAACAAGTTCCAGCTCTGTGGTCTGTAGAACCCTATATGCCCAGGTGCTGCAGTGCATCTCCTCAGCAACGTGGGCTATTGTGAGCACATCAAACTTCTCCTCTGCTCTCTGCACTGGCTTCCCATGGAATAGAAAGTCAAGGCTGAGATCTCGGTCCTTACCTCAGGATGCCCCGGCCTAGCACGTCTGAAAGAGCCTAATGCTCCCATTGAAGACCGTAGTTCACAGCCCCGCTCCTCAGGCAGACTGGAACCTTTTACCATAAGAAGATGTTGTTTTCATGGGCCTCAGCCCAGGACCATGGAATGAACTCTCCCAGAAACTAAGGACCAGCCACCTCCCACCACCTTCCACTTCCAGATCAGGGGGCATGTCTTCAGCTTGCCTCCTCTAATGTAAACACAGAGCAGCATGGACATTAACATCCCACCCCACTGAAACAAAGCACTCCTCAGCACACACAGTTCTTCCCCCAGGAGAGAATGAGAGAGAACCATCCATGGGTGGCGGATGTTAGCTGCACATCAAGCGATATGGCTGGAAGGTGCTCTGTTATTGCAGAGATTAGGGTGAGCTAAGAACCTGTATGGAACAGGACAGTGGTCCTGCTCTGACCCATGTGGGGTTATGTGGTTCTGTGTTATGGAATTTGTTTTTTTCAGTCAGCTTTTTAAAAACCATGGGAAATTACACACAAAAACATGTTGCCTCCATATAAATCCCTGGTACGCCCACAGCTCGAATACTGCGTGCAGATGTGGTTGCCCCATCTCAAAAAAAGATATATTGGAATTGGAAAAGGTTCAGAAAAGGGCAACAAAAATGATGGGGGGTATGGAATAGCTTCTGTATGAGGAGAGATTAATAACACTGGGACTTTTCAGCTTGGAAAAGAGACGACTAAGGGGGGATATGATTGAGGTCTATAAAATCATGACTGGCGTGGAGAAAGTAAATAAGGAAGTGTTATTTACTCCTTCTCCTAACACAAGAACTAGGGGGTCACCCAATGAAACTAATAGGCAGCAGGTTTAAAACAAACAAAAGGAAGTATTTCTTCACACAACGTACACTCACCCTGGGGAACTCCTTGCCAGAGGATGTTGTGAAGGCCAACACTATATCAGGGTTCAAAAGAGAACTAGATAAGTTCATGGAGGACAGGTCCATCGGTGGCTATTAGCTAGGATGGGCAGGGATGGTGTCCCTAGCCTCTGTTTGCCAGAAGCTGGGAATGGGTGACAGGGGATGGATCACTTGATGATTCCCTGTTCTGTTCATTCCCTCTGGGGCACCTGGCATTGACTACTCTCAGTAGACAGGATACTGGGCTAGGTTGACCTGTGGTCTGACCCAGTATGGCTGTTCTTTTGTTCATTAAAAGAATAATATGCTTGCAAAGCACTCAGAAGCTTGGAGATGACAGAATTTGTTTGTCTGTGCAATCTGAATTCAGCCCCCTTGTGTATACATTATCGTACAGTCTTTAATTACATGATCACATACTATTTCTTCCATAGGACCCCGTCTCTTTCTTCCATGGACTTGTTCTGGGCATGAATCAGGGGTGTGTAGTGGAGGAGACCGTTGTCTGTAGGACCCCTGCTTCATTTGTTGGAAAAACTGGAAAGTGGCAGTGAATGAGGCAGAGTGTTGCAGGACGAGAAAAGATGGTCTCATGGTGAAGGCAGTCGAATGCTGCCCTGGAGAACTGGATTCTGTCCCTGCCCCTGAGTTCCTGTGAGTGCTGGGCTGTTCTGAAACCAGACTTTTCACAAGTGGTCACTAACTGTTTGTTCATTGTTTTCTGGGTGCCTGACTTAGCCCCAGGGGTCTGATTTGCAGAAGTGCTGAGCACTCACAGCCGCAGCTGAAGTCGGTGGGGGCTGTGAACATATAAAGCAGGGCTTTGGAGCTGTGCTCCGGCTCTGCGCTCCAGCTCCGGGCAAAACCCTGCCGCTCCGGAGCGG